CTGGCGCGACCCATGCATCAGAAAGAGAGCGCGCGGAACGGGGGGGGCGGGGAGGAGCAGCGAGCAGCGGGAGCACGAGCGCCTAGACAGGGCTAGGATCAAACGCATTGGCGATGGAGACACGGTCAAATCGAAGGGGGCCTGCGAGGGGAAGGACGATGCAAATAATAAGAAAAAGAAGAATAATAACAATAATAATAATAATAATCATAATGATAATAATAATAACAATAATAACAGTAATAATAATAATAAAGACATTAATAATACGTATAATAATAGCGATAAGAGTAATAATGGTAAAATTAATAATGTTAATGATTAATAACAATTGTAATAATTAAAGAAAAAATGATAGTGATAATGGTGGTAATGGAAATAGAAATAATAATAATAATAATACCTATACGACCACCCTTCGGGTGATAAGGAGGTTCGGGGGGGGAGGAACCAACGTCTCACTCGATCGGTCTCACTATCGATCTCACTATCGATCTCAGTTTCGGTCTCGCTCGATCGATCTCCCTCGATCGATCTCACAATCGATCTCACTCGATCTATCTCACAATTGATCTGACTATCGATCTCACAATCGATCTCACAATCGATATCACATCCGGCCTCACTATCGATCTCACTATCGATATCACAACCGCTATCACAATCAACGTCATCATCATCAACAACATCAACATCAACATCAACATCATCATCACCAACATCATCATAATGGGGACACCGTCCTCATCATAAACACCAACATCGTCATCATCATCATCATCATCATCATCATCATCATCATCATCATCATCATCATCATCATCTTCACGGTCATCAACATCATCGGGACACCACCATCATCATCATCATCATCATCATCATCACCATCATCACAATCATCATCATCATCAACATCATCATCATTAGCAGCATCGGGACGCAGTCATCGTCATCATCATCATCATCATCAGCAGCAGTATCATCATCGGGGCACCATCATGATCACCATCGTTATCATCATCATCATCATCATCATCATCATCATCATCATCATCGGGACACCATCATCATCATCATCATCATCATCATCATCATCATCTCATCCTCATCATCGACATCATCATCATCAGCATCATCAACATCACCATCAGCATCATCATCATCGTCATCATCGGGGCACCATCATCAGCATCAACAACATCATCATCATCATCATCATCATCACCATCGGGACGCCATCATCATCAACATCATCAGCACCATCAGAAAAATCATCATCATCGGGACGCCATAATCATCATCAATCTCATCATCATCAACATCATCATCATCGGGACACAATCATAATCAGCATCATCAACATCAACATCATCATACTCATCATCATCGGGACACCATCATCGTCATCATCATGATCATCAACATAATCATCATGATCATCATCATCCTCATCATCGGGACACCATCAGCATCATCATCATCGTCATCATCATCATCATCGACATCATCATCATCATCATCGGGATCATCATCATCATCATCATCATCATCATCATCATCATCATCATCATCATCAGCATCACCATCATCATCATCATCGTCATCATCATCATCAGCAGCATCATCATCATCATCAGCATCATCATCATCATCATCATCATCATCATCATCATCATCATCATCATCATCATCATCATCATCATCATCATCATCATCATCATCATCATCATCATCGCGGGACACCCGCGGGACACCGGCGGGACACCGCGGGGCAGCGGGACACGCGGGACACCGCGGGACCAGCGGGACACGGCGGACCGGGACACACCGGCCCCGGCGCCCGGAGGGGAGACATTTGGTCCGGCCGCGCCTCAGCCACACGGGACACCAGCGGGACACCGGCGGGACACCGCGGGCCCCCGGCCGCCCGGAAGGGAGACATTTGGTCCGGCCGCGCCTCAGCCACAGGAGACTTTCTCTCGCCCGCCCACGCAGCTTCGCCTCGCCCGCACGGCACGCACGAACACGAAACCGAAATCGATTTCCCGGTAGGGGGGCTCTCCGTTCCACTTCGATCTCACCCCCTCACCTCCGAATGAGGATAATAATACTAACAATAGTATTAGTAATAATGATAATAGAAATGATAAGACTAATAATGATGATGATAATGATAATGAGAATGCATGAAAAAAACATAGGGAGGGGGATGAGACACACCAGGAGGATGAAGAGAGAGAGAGAGCGTGTGTGTGTGAATGCATGTGTGCCAAACTCATGCAGTGTACAGATGGCGAGGCAGTGCGATGACGATGCGTTCGCTGCTGCTCGGCAAGGCCGAATACTGGCCTGGGAAGTCAACGAGCCAGGGCGAGCCGTCGATGGCTCCAGGGCCCCCCGGCACAGCCATCGGGCAGAAGCGAGGGCACGTAGCCTCTGATGGGCCTGCTTTCCACCACCACCACCACGAGTTGGAAGAGGAGGAAGAGGAGGAGGAGGAGGAGGAGGAGGAGGAGGAGGAGGAGGAGGAGGGGGGAGGGGGGAGGGGGAGGAGGGGGAGGAGGGGGAGGAGGAGGAGGAGGAGGAGGAGGAGGAGGAGGAGGAGGAGGAGGAGCACCCCCTCCCCCTCCAAGTTATGATGGTGGTGGTGGAAAACAGGCCCACCAGCCTCTCACTTCGTCTGCGTGCGGGTCGGTGCCGGGAGGACCCTGCGGTGCTCCCCAGCCGTCCCGGGGAGAGGTGCCCGATGCACCGCAGGGACCCGCGCAGGGTTGGCCGCCCCGCAGGTCTGCACTGTGGGGACGTGAGCCGGTCCAGCTTATGGTGTCTGGAGCGTCACTGGCCTGCGGAGGTGTTCGCATTGAGCTCTGTGGCGATCCGTCGCACCATGGCGCTAAGTGTGAGTCGGGCGTGTCCCCCTACAGGGGGATTTTCGACGCCTGCGGAGGTGTTCGCATTGAGCTCTGTGGCGATACGTCGCACCATGGCGCTAAGTGTGAGTCGGGCGTGTCCCCCTACAGGGGGATTTTCGACGCCTGCGGAGGTGTTCGCATTGAGCTCTGTGGCGATCCGTCGCACCATGGCGCTAAGTGTGAGTCGGGCGTGTCCCCCTACAGGGGGATTTTCGACGCCTGCGGAGGTGTTCGCATTGAGCTCTGTGGCGATCCGTCGCACCATGGCGCTAAGTGTGAGTCGGGCGTGTCCCCCTACAGGGGGATTTTCGAACGCCCTGCGGATGTGTTCGCATTGAGCTCTGTGGCGATCCGTCGCAACCATGGCGCTAAGTGTGATCGGGCCGTTCCCCCTACAGGGGGATTTTTCGACGCCTGCGGAGGTGTTCGCATTGAGCTCTGTGCGATCCGTCGCACCATGGCGGCTAAGTGGTGAGTCGGGCGTTCCCTGACTTACAGGGGGATTTTCGACGCCTGCGGAGGTGTTCGCATTGAGCTCTGTGGCGATACGTCGCACCATGGCGCTAAGTGTGAGTCGGGCGTGTCCCCCTACAGGGGGATGTTCGACGCCTGCGGAGGTGTTCGCATTGAGCTCTGTGGCGATACGTCGCACCATGGCGCTAAGTGTGAGTCGGGCGTGTCCCCCTACAGGGGGATTTTCGACGCTGCGGATTGCAACGCATTGAGCTCTGTGCGATACTCGCACCATGGCGCTAAGTGTGAGTCGGGGCGTGTCCCCCTACAGGGGGATTTTCGACGCTGCCGGGGTGTTCGCATTGAGCTCGTGGCGATACTTCCGCCCAGGGCGCTAAGTGGTGATGGGCGTGTCCCCCTACAGGGGGATTTTCGACGCCTGCGGAGGTGTTCGCATTGAGCTCTGTGGCGATACGTCGCACCAGGGCGCTAGTGTGAGTCGGCGTGTCCCTACAGGGGGATTTTCCGCCGCCTGCGGAGGTGTTCGCATTGAGCTTCTGTGGCGTACTCGCCCATGGCGCGAGTGTAAGTCGGGCGGTCCCCCTACAGGGGGATTTTTCGACGCCTGCGGAGGTTTTCGCATTGAGCTCTGTGGCGATCCGTCGCACCATGGCGCTAAGTGGAGTCGGCGTGTCCCTACAGGGGGATTGTCGCGCCCTGCGGAGTGTTCGCATTGAGCTCTTGGCGATACGGTCCGCACCATGGCGCTAGTGTGAGTCGGGCGTGCCCCCTACAGGGGGATTTTCCGACCCCTGCGGAGGTGTTCGCATGAGTTCTTGTGGCGATACGTCGACCATGGGCGCTAATTGTGAGTCGGGCGTGTCCCCTACAGGGGGATTTTCGACGCCCTGCGGAGGTGTTCGCATTGATTCTGTGGTGATACGTCGCACCATGGCGCCTTAAGTGTAAGTCGGCGTGTCCCCCTACAGGGGGATTTTCGACGCCTGCGGAGGTGTGCATTGAGCTCTGTGGCGATACGTCGCACCATGGCGCTAAGTGTGAGTCGGGCGTGTCCCCCTACAGGGGGATTTTCGACGCCTGCGGAGGTGTTCGCATTGAGTTCTGTGGTGATACGTCGCACCATGGCGCTAAGTGTAAGTCGGGCGTGTCCCCCTACAGGGGGATTTTCGACGCCTGCGGAGGTGTTCGCATTGATCTGTGGCGATACGTCGCACCATGGCGCTAAGTGTGAGTCGGGCGTGTCCCCCTACAGGGGGATTTTCGACGCCTGCGGAGGTGTTCGCATTGAGTTCTGTGGTGATACGTCGCACCATGGCGCTAAGTGTAAGTCGGGCGTGTCCCCCTACAGGGGGATTTTCGACGCCTGCGGAGGTGTTCGCATTGAGCTCTGTGGCGATACGTCGCACCATGGCGCTAAGTGTAAGTCGGGCGTGTCCCCCTACAGGGGGATTTTCGACGCCTGCGGAGGTGTTCGCATTGAGCTCTGTGGCGATACGTCGCACCATGGCGCTAAGTGTGAGTCGGGCGTGTCCCCCTACAGGGGGATCTTCGACGCCTGCGGAGGTGTTCGCATTTAGCTCTGTGGCGATCCGTCGCACCATGGCGCTAAGTGTG